TACATTTGGACAGGATGGAAAAAAGATATGGGAGGTGTCGTTCTTCCGAAATCAAGGGCAAGACAATGGTATTAGAGATAAGGGGAACTGGTTGGCAGGCATCTTGTTTGGGTGGTATAGTGAAAAAGAGTATCAGAGTTGAAATCAGAAGACCTAGGCTCACAAGGGTGCCTGGCTGGCTCAGTCGGGGGAGCGTACAACACTTGATCTCAGAGTGGTGAATTGGAGCCCCACGTTGGGTGTTGAGATTACTTAAAAATAAAATCTAAAAAAAAAAAAAAGACCTAGACCCATAGATTTCCATAGATTTTTTTTTTCACCTCTTACTGGCCTCTCTGAACTTTGGCTTCCTTTCCTGTACCCCTTGGGCCTGTCATAAAGACCATATATTTGAAAGTGTGTCGTAAACTATTGTTCCAGACAATTATTATGAAAGTAATTGAGAGAGCATGGTGGTTTTGTCTGGTTATAGTTGCTGTTCTCCTCCATAACCTGTTCTCCTTATAACTACCTGACCTTTTTAAGCAGGAGGTGGTTACAGTGGGGCAGCTGACTGAAGAAGGGTTCTGGAGCAAGATGTAGGTATACGAGCTCTTTGGATGTGGTGGGTACAGAATGGGTGGTGAGTACAATTGCGAGCTGGAATGCAGGGCTGTTAGGGTGAGAGACCAAGTGTGTATACATTCCTGTCAGAGTTTGAGACTGAGCATAAATCTGTAGCCCACCAAGAGTTTGGGATTGCACCTGGGGCCTGGCTTGGCACATTTTCCTAGCACCAACACCCATCTTAATTAGCCACCTCCCACAGGAGGCCCTAGGATGCTCGTTGAGGTCTCTCCATCCACCTGGCTGAGGACGTACAGCAGGGGCTGGCTGGCAGAGCTCATGGGCCAACGCTAGAGGGGGTGGGAGGTTCCGCAGGTAGTGCTGTCCCGGGCTGTGGGTTTGAAACTCACCAGTCAGGAAGTGAGGCCGACAGACGGAAGGGCGGGCAAGAGTGCGGAGTTCTGAGGCACAGCAGAAGGGGCCTTCTGGTTTTTGAGGACTACGGGGCCATGGGCTTCAAGGCCAGAGGTTGCTGTTAGCCTGGCAAGACAGGTCTGGGCAACATGCATGCCCAGAGGCAGTTGGCTGTCGCTGCAGTGAGAGCAGAAGTCAGGCGACATGAGGTGGCCAAGCAGTCTCTAAGCCGCCTCAGGAAGCTGGCAGAGAGGGTGGGCGATCCTGAACTTCGGGACAGCATCCAAGCCTCACTGGACAGTGTGCGAGGTAAGAGAAGGATTAGCTCCCAACTTGGGTGTATCGGGGGCCAGTGGAGGCATAGAAGGGCTTGCTGTGCCATACATCACTTCCCAATCAGCCACTTCCTAGTCCTCTAGATGGAGCTGGGACTCGGGGGGAGAATACATTTGGACAGGATGGAAAAAAGATATGGGAGGTGTCGTTCTTCCTCTTTCCCCAACTCTGATCCTTCTCCCAGGGGATCAAAATACAAGTCACTGCTGAGCTGACCTTCTTGGCAATGGAGAAGTGGGTGAGCATGGGGAAGGGAGGCCGTGACAGACCCAGGGTAGCCTTGGACCGTGCCTGGGGAGTCCAGGGCAGGAAGCAGTGTGGGGCAGGAGGTTCTGGGACTGGATAATGTGCTCATTCCCAGGACCCACAAAGGATCAGTGACCTCTTGTTCTCCAGCTGTAGAGAGAAATACACACACGTTGAAATACACCATGCAGAGAATCTCAGGCTCCCAGGCACACACTACCACTCATACTGTAACCAAAGTGTAATGAAGTCCCCAGGACTCTTTTCGGCCCCCTCTCTTCCCCATGCTCCTGTTCCTGTCCTTCCCCCCACCCCCAACACACACACCTTCCGCTTTACCTCCTTAGTGCCATTAGAGCAAGTGATGACAACACAGGGAGGAAGTGCTGCCATGGCAACACCATCCGCCACATCCTCCTGCCCACCCCAGCCTTCAGTCTGTGGGGGGGCCCTGGCAGGAACAGCTTCTCTCTATCCACAGGGCCCCACCGCTAAGGAGCTGGTGGAACTGAAAGTCATCTCCAGCCTAGCCTCCTCTCATTTACCTCTGAGGTGGCAAAGAGCTGACAAAAGCCAGCCATGTTGTTCCTGAAAGGTGTCTGGGAGAAGTACATCCTTCATCATAGCCTGGTCTCCCAGCCGCTCCAGTCTCAGCTGCCTACCTGGGGTGGGGGTGGGGGTTCAAGAGACCATTCTTTCCGTCAGAGACACCTGCTACCAGACCCCTCTGATGGTAGAGGCCACCAGATCGTAACTTGGGGAAGGAACATTTGGTTTGGGTTCCTAAGGGGACAGTCTGATCCCCTTCCCATTGCCTTTCTGAGGCTAGTGCCCCTCTCACCTCCTGTCCCCACCCTTTGCCAAGAATGAAGGCTGACACCTTTCCTACAGCCTCAGTGGGTGGAAAGGCAAACCCAGGGGGAGTGGCCCCATGGGGCCTCCTAGGAAGGAACTCCAAGGCCCACCCCTGTAGAAAAAAAAAAGAGGGGGAGGAAAAAGGTTTAGTCAGGGTGGAGGAGCTACACTTAGCTCTGGAGGAGGGAGTGAGGAGGGGTGGAGGCTGAAATTGCCCAGAAGACTCCACTCTTCACAAGTGACTTGTCCCACTATTTCCCTGAGAGTCAGGATTCTTTTCCCACTGAGCATAAAGGAAGACTGAGGCCACCAAAGGAAGGAAGGAAAATTAAGGCAGAAATAGCAAATCTCCTTCACCCTCTCTTCCAGAACATTCAGAAAAGGCTACTGAAGGGTCCCCTGTCCTGGGAATGGTGTCCTCCTGGGGTGGGGTGGAGAGGGGGCTGCTGACCTCAGGACAGGACTCAAGAGGGATTGGGTACAGGTCTCAGGGAAAACAAAGGGCATCCAGCATCCTAGTACCACCACCCCCCTTCACCCCCTACCAGGCCAAGCACGCTGCCGGCTCCTGCCTCCAAGAGCCGCCCACGACAGCACTTATTATAGTCTCAGCTGCGTCAGGAGGGTGGGACGCCAAATTAGGGGAATGCTGAGACTCCCTGAGTCCAGGGAGGGGTCTCCAAGCCTGCGTGAAGGCCTGCCACCACTCTGGCCTATCCCTGACAGGTCTCAGCCTCCATTCCCCATTGGCCTATCCCCTTCAACCTTCTCCCCAGGATAGAGGACAGTGAGTCTTGAACTCCAGGGTCCCTAGAAGGGTGGTGGACATAGAGCAGACAGACGTTTTCCATTCTCTCTATCTCCTCTTTAACCTTCTAAAAGGGCTCCACGCTGAAAACCTTAGGAGACCGAATGGGAACCCAAAAGAGGCCGGCTTCCGCCTCAACTGAAGGGGTCCTTATATTCAGGGATACTAAATACCCCACATGTGGGTAACTGGATTCGAGGATGGTGCCTCCCTTAACCCCCAGTCCCCTGGCAGGTACCCCCACCCACCATACACACCGATTCTTCTCTCTGCTTATCCCCGCTGATTCTGAGGCACTCTTGGAGCTACGGTTGCTATGGAGACTGGAGGCATTTTGGTATGGGGGGTGTCAATCTGTAGACATAGTCCTTCTCCTTCCACCTCAAGCTGGAGCCTTTGACTCACTTTTTGGCCTGGGCTCCTGGAGCCCTCGAATCTCTCCCCTCCTAAGGCACGCCCCTCCTTCCTACCCTGCTAAGTTCCATGTTTGTCCCCATCCCCAGGGAACACTTTCCAAGTTCACTTTGGGACAGTTGGGCTTAAGTCGTGGCCCCATCAGTTTATTGCGTGTGGGGGTGGGGTGGGGTGGGCCGGGCGGCTGGGTGATGGGAAAAAGAATGCGTGCAATTACCTGGGGGAGACAAGGGGTCTTGGGAAAGGGATTTCAGGTCTCCCCATTTCCCCACTTCAACTTCCCCAGAATTGGCAGTGACCCCTAAATTCGCTCCGTTTTCCCTGCGGACTGTCCACCCGTGTACTGATTTTTACCCCTGTCCCTAAATGCCACACCCAACAGTCGCGCTCCCTAACCGTGGCGTGCTAGGGGAGGGGGCTAGATTGTCGGAGTAGGTGAGTCCAAGTTCTAGGAAATCCAGCCCAGGATTTGGGAGGGAAATCCAGTCCTGGATTTTGCACCGCCTTCTCAGACAGCCGAGCTGGTGGAGAGAAGGTTGGGGGGGGGAGATAGGATGGGGGGGCGGGGGGCCGCCTCCTCCTCAATGTGAGGGGAGCGCCCGGACACAGCGCGCATCCAGACCGAGCCGAGCCCCGGCGAGCCCCCCGGACCCTTCGCCCGGATCTCACGCCCCTTCCTTCCCAGACCCCAGACCCGTGGGTTCCCACCCCCTAAGGCTTCCCTCCTTCCTCCCCCGCCGGCGCCTGTATCTCTATCCCCAGCATCCCCCCGCGCCCCTGAGAATCCCCCGCACGACCAGCCCATTAGCTTCCCACCTTCCTACAGATCCCCTCTCCGACCCCCATCCACGGCCCCTGTCCCCTGAGTCCCCATTCCCCGCCCCTGCCTCCCCCGCACCGGTTCTTCCTCTCCCCCAGCCTCGGGTCCCTCTTTTCTGTCCCCTTTTCCTCCCTCTCCCCTATTTGCCCCCACTACTGTCCTCCCCGCCCTCCTCCGCCCATCTCGGCGCCCCCACCCAGGCAGGGGCGCAAGGTCCGGCGCGCCTCCCTGGAGCAGCACCAAGGTCCCGGGGCTCCAACGGGGTGGGGGCGCAGGGCGGGGAGCATGGGGAGGGGGCGCCCCGTGTGATGGGAGGGGGGCGCAAGCGGAGGCGGCGGAGGCGGCGGCGACAGCGGAGCCGGGCTGGGGGCTCAGCGGGGTCCGGGGGCTGGGGGCAGCGAGCAGGGCGGCCCCATGGCCGGGCCCCCCTGAGGCAGTCCGGGGGAGTCCCCTCCCCTCCCCAGCTCGGGGGTCTCGGGGCCCCATGAGCCGGGGCGCGGGCGCGCTTCAGCGCCGGACAACGACCTACCTCATCTCGCTGACCCTGGTCAAGCTCGAGTCGGTGCCTCCGCCGCCGCCTTCTCCGTCTGCGGCCGCAGCCGGCGCCACTGGGACCAGAGGTGCCGAGACCGGGGATCCTGGCAGCCCCCGAGGCGCGGAGGAGCCCGGCAAGAAGCGGCACGAGCGTCTCTTCCACCGGCAGGATGCGCTGTGGATCAGCACGAGCAGCGCGGGCGCCGGGGGCGCCGAGCCCCCCGCCCTGTCCCCGGCTCCGGCCAGTCCGGCCCGCCCCGTCTCCCCTGCTCCCGGCCGCCGCCTCTCCCTTTGGGCCGCCCCTCCGGGGCCCCAGCTCTCCGGGGGGCTGAGCCCTGATCCTAAGCCCGGGGGCGCCCCCACCTCCCGGCGCCCCTTGCTCAGCAGCCCGAGCTGGGGAGGCCCGGAACCTGAAGGCCGGGCGGGCGGCGGCGTCCCAGGCTCGTCCTCCCCGCACCCCGGCACCGGCAGTCGGAGGCTCAAGGTGGCGCCTCCTCCGCCGGCTCCTAAGCCTTGCAAGACCGTAACCACGAGTGGCGCCAAAGCCGGCGGGGGCAAGGGCGCCGGTAGCCGCCTGTCATGGCCCGAGAGCGAAGGCAAGCCCAGGGTCAAGGGGTCAAAGAGCAGCGCCGGGACTGGAGCTTCTGCCGCAGCCGCTGCCGCCGCCGCCGCCGCCGCCGGGGGAGGAGGACCGGCAGCCACGACCTCCGGTGGGGTCGGGGCTGGGTCGGGAGCCCGAGGGAAGCTGTCCCCTCGGAAAGGCAAGAGTAAGACCTTGGACAACAGTGACTTGCACCCGGGACCGCCTGCTGGCTCTCCTCCTCCGCTAACCCTCCCAGCAACCCCGGCTCCAGCCGCTGCTGTCACCGCCGCCTCCGCGCAGCCCACTGGGCCTGCACCTCCAATCACTCTGGAGCCTCCAGCTCCAGGGCTGAAACGGGGCCGGGAGGGGGGCCGAGCATCCACTCGAGATCGCAAGATGCTCAAGTTTATCAGCGGCATCTTCACCAAGAGCACAGGGGGGCCTCCTGGCTCCGGGCCCCCTCCTGGACCCCCGGGCCTGTCTTCTGGCAGCGGGTCCAGGGAGCTGCTGGGCGCAGAGCTCCGCGCCTCCCCTAGTGAGTAGGATCAGGGTCTGAGAACAGGGAGGGGAGGGCACGTGGAATGGTCAGTTTGGGGTGGAGGAGAGGTGTGCAGGATTGAACTAGGGAAGCTTCTCTCTTGGGTGGATGGACGAACCAAATTGACTCCTCTGCCAAGGACTGGGGCAAAGCCTAAGAGGTCCTGAAAGGGGGTGGGTAGCTACGTTGTGCCACATGAGAGATGACTTGATTTCAGAGGGACCCAGAAAGCCTCAGAGCTTTCTGGGAAAATAATGCCCTTGCTCAGAGTGACTGTAGGAAATTGCTCCCAGAGAAGCCCCAGACCCCACTTCTAGCCTCAGCTGGACTCTGGGAGCAAGGGAACATAGCTTTGCCTTGCCTAAACAAATACTGAAGGTGAAGGAGATGAGGAAGACTCAGTTTCTCCTGAGCACTTGGGGCAGGTGGCATGAGAATGACCTTGCAGGCAACTCCTCGCCAGGGATAGGTCTTCTCTGGGCTGAGACCCGGCTGGTGAGGCAGCAGGGAGGGACTCTTGTTTCTTTCCATGCAGTGAAGGTGGAGTGGGCTGTACGGGAGTGCGTGGGGGCTGGAACGTGATGAATACTTGAATGTGAAGTGAGAGGGGGCGGATAGGAGGCTTCACTTCCCCCACTGCCCACCCGGCCCCACAGCGGCGTTGAAACCCCCAGGGGGCTGCCCAGGAGTGACTCAGGGGGACGGAACTGCTGCAAAGGCAATTCTTACCCCCGGAGACTTGGGAGGGGGTGCTGAGAAGGTACTGGTTTTTTCCTGGGGGGGGGTGTTTTTCTTTTTTTCTGGAAGAAAGAAGCTAGGGACTCTTGGTGCGGTTCACACTCCCCGGAGGGGAGGCAGGTTCGGGAGCGGGGGCGGCCCCCGGGGTTTGGCTCTGGAGCGGGTGGGAGCAGATGGCTCCGGATCCCAGAGTTCCCGCCGCAGCTGCGGCGCCCCGGGAACGTCCGGCCGGTGTCAGGCGCGGGGGCTGGACGCGGCGGGCGGAAGGAGCAACCCACCCCCCGCCCCCAGGCCTGAGGCTTCCCTCGGCCAAGGAACGGAGCTCTTCCCCACACTTGTTTCAGCGGGTGCTTGTGGGGAAGGTATGGGAGAGGGAAGCTTAGGCAAGTCCAAGCTCCGTTGCCTGGACTGTGGGAAGCGGTCAGGGCCACCATGCTGTTGACCTTGAAAAGGGGGAGGGATATCCCTCACCTCAGTTTCTCTCTTGTGAAATGGAGATTGAGGAAGACCCATTGCCTCCCATGTCCCAGCCCCTCCTCCCAGGATCTGCCCTGGAATCCCAGTCAGGCCGGTAGGAAGGAGACCCTCTCCCGTTCTTCCAGAGGGAAAAACCGGCCACTGTCAGAACTCTGGTCCCTGGTCTGGGGCAGACTTACGTTTGGGGATGTGCTTTAAAGGAGATGCCAGCTGAAGTATTTTTGTCTAGCTGGTTCCGTTGCTAAGCAACCACTGAGCGGCAGCAACAGCTGTGGGGAGAGCGGCTAGGATGGGAGGACTGGGGACCACTCTCGAACCTAGCCTTTCCACAGAGTTCTCCAGCCCAGGCAGAGTCCTGGGGGTTAAGGGAAGCTGCAAAATGAGGAGGGGTGGCTGAGGGGCGGGGGTGCTCCTGGGCCTGGAGCATCCTCTCTTAATGGCTCCTTTCTTATTACAGAGGCTGTGGTCAATAGCCAGGAATGGACTTTGAGCCGCTCCATTCCTGAACTGCGCCTGGTAGGTAACCCAGTCCCCTAGTTTTTATGAAGACTGAACTCCCACCCCACCGCACTCTCAACTCTCTCCCCTTCACCTCCTCCCTTCCCTCTCTCTGTGGGAATGGGGGATAGTTTCCTAGTACTCCTGAGAGTGTGCCACTTCCTGGGGCTTGATATAGCCTTACAATTTTTTCTCTCCAGCTTCTTTTTTCCTGTTTGTTCATGGTCCTTGTCCAAGCTTCTCCTCGTTTCTGGCATCTCCCCTTTAGCCCTTCATGTTCTGTTGCCTTGAATTGGGTAAAACTTTCCAACCAGGGTCTAGCGCTGTGACACCCCCCCCCCCCCCACACACACACACACACACGCGCGCGATACTGGGTTGCTGAGAATCTTCAGCCTGGGATCCACTTTGAGCTTGGGATCATTTCTTATCCCACTCACCTGATCTTCCCGAATGCTCTCTCCTGACCAATCATCATCCCCAGTCCCTGCAGGATCCAGCTTGGATGATTTAACACTGCCAATCTCTTTGAGTTCTTGGGAGTGTTCAGACCCAAACATTTGACCTCCTCTTAATTCTCACCATCTCTGCTCCACAACCGTGTTCTCAGGGTGTGCTGGGGGACACCAGGAGTGGAAAGTCATCTCTCATCCATCGATTCTTGACCGGTTCCTACCAAGTGCTGGAGAAGACAGAAAGTGAGTTCTCAGGAGCCATAGTAAGCTAATGTTTTGGGTCAGGAATCCAGGATCAATGACTAGGCAGCTATGGAGACCAGAGGAAAGGATGAAGCCACAATAGCTGAAGCACAGGGAGCGTGGGGAAACTTGGTGACCTGTGACCTCTGACCTACTACCACTTCTCCCCTTCCGGACAGGTGAGCAGCACAAGAAAGAGATGTTGGTGGATGGACAGACTCATCTGGTGTTGATCCGAGAGGAAGCTGGGGCACCTGATGCCAAGGTGAGGGGTGAGATGTTGGGGTAGGCAGGCTGGCTGGGGTCAGCACTGGCCAAGGGAGAAAGCTCTAGTTCCCCAGACCTCCCTGGACATAGTGTCCAGAGGAGTAGACTTGTCTGACCCCCCTTTCGCTCCCTCACCCCCCGCAAGTTCTCAGGCTGGGCAGATGCTGTCATCTTGGTCTTCAGCCTGGAGGATGAAAACAGTTTCCAGGCCGTGAGCCGTCTCCATGGGCAGCTGAGCTCCCTTCGGGGGGAAGGACGAGGAGGCCTGGCACTGGCACTGGTGGGTACACAAGGTAAGGAGGGCCTGGGCAAGCACTGCTTTCAGGGGAGTCCTTGAGATGGCTGCTGAGGTATTGCCCAACACAGGTGAGAGCTTGGTAAGGTGTGGAAATGGCCACTTGGATTGCAGGAACCCTCTGGAAGGAGCCTTGTCTCCAAATAAGGGAGTCATTAAACCAAAAAAAACGTCCCAGGGTCTGAGTGGAGAAAAGAGGACCCTACAGGAAGGAAGGGACAGCTATAGGAGCAGTCACCACTCCTCTGAGATGTCACCTACTTTGTGGTCTCACCCTGCCATTTCCTGTCTCCACCATGGCAAACAGAAAATCTCAGGCTCTAGTGTGGACAGAAAGCCTTCTATCTTCCCCTCGCTACAGCTGGGTCAGGCTAACACCTTCCAAAGGGACGTATCTAAAAAAGAGAAAACACAAACGAAATGATGCAGAAAATACAGAGGGCAGAAAAGTCTGAGTTCTCAAAGAAGTGATTCAGAGGCTCTCAGATGCCAGCAGGCCCAGGAAAAGCTTTTCCAGTACCCACCTTGCACTGAGCTGGCTCAGCTTTCTGCCTGGATGCCTATCCTGCAGGAACCTGCTTCCCCTCACCACTCGCCTCCTGGCTCCTTGCTGCAGAGTGAACAGTCCACCTGTTCCCCGTGGACTTTCAACCTTTTCCGAGGTGAACTCCCACTCTGCTCAGGGTTCGTTGGATTTGCAGGGCAGGGTGACAGGACACTTGGGAGTCTCAGTCATTTGAGACCTTGTTAAGAAGTCCTGCTCACCTCTCAAGTATTCCCTGAAGACACATACACAGAGCTCACCCACCTGCTTCTCCTGCCGCGGGGCTTGTGAGCTTGGTCCCATCCTTCAAACAAGAAGGGGATATTCTCTCATCGCCTGTCCTTAGTGTGCCCAGCCTGGGACTGGAGCCAAAGGAAGAAGAAATTAGGAAGAGTGGGGAAGCGGCGCCCTTGTCCAATCCTGCCCCTTTCCTGCCCCCTCAGACAGGATTAGTGCCTCCTCCCCTCGAGTGGTGGGCGATGCTCGTGCCAGGGCTCTGTGCGCAGACATGAAGCGCTGCAGCTACTACGAGACATGTGCCACCTACGGGCTCAATGTGGACCGCGTCTTCCAGGAGGGTGAGTACCGTGACTCGCCGCACATGTGGGAAGCAGGGAGCGAAGGGCCTGCAATGTTCTTAGGGCATCCAGGCCTCTCTCTGGGAGTGACAGCAACCTGGCCTGCAGGGGAGAGAGGCGGCATCAGGGAGGTTTGGAGAAGGTTTGCTTAGTGACCACGTGGTCTTTCTGGGCTGGATGAGCTGCCAAGACTCCAGGTGGCACGAAGACGACGGTGACAAGGAAGTTGGGGCCTATGTTATCTCCGGGGGATTTCTCAAAATTGGGCGACAAAGGGTGATCTTGGCCATCTGTCCGTTCATGTACCCTTCCTCTCCCCCTTCCTTCAGTGGCCCAGAAGGTGGTGACCTTACGGAAACAGCAACAGCTTCTGGCTGCCTGTAAGTCCCTGCCCAGCTCCCCGAGCCACTCGGCTGCTTCCACTCCTGTAGCTGGGCAGGTGAGTTGGGGTTTCAGGGTCCACAGAGGGGCTGGTAGGATGCAGAGGAGGGACTGGTGATCCAAGAACAGGTACCGCGTACCAAGGCGGTTGGGGGTGGGGGGCAAATGGAAATGGCAGTGACACCATTTGTAGAAAGCTCATTGGACTGGACATCAAGCAGGTTTGAAACGCTGTTCGGAAGGTCCTCGAGCAAGACACCTAAACCTCCCAAGGTTTCAGGAAAGTTGCTTGGCCTAATACTTGCAAAATGGAAAGCATATGACAGTGAGGAGTTTTATAATGAGCGATAATGCAAACAAATGACGATGAGATCAAGGAATGTCTGGAATTCCTCATAACTAAATGTAACTATAGCTTGGTGGGGTGGGGGCGATCTTAACTGTTCTGCTGACTCTTTCATCCATCCCCAGGCTAGCAATGGGGGCCACACTAGCGACTATTCTTCTTCCCTCCCATCCTCACCCAATGTTGGTCACCGGGAGCTCCGAGCTGAGGCAGCTGCTGTGGCTGGATTGAGCACCCCAGGGTCCCTGCACCGGGCCGCCAAGCGCAGGACCAGCCTCTTCGCGGTATTGGACATGATGACTCCCCCATCCTCTGGTTCTCTGTTACCTGCCCATCTTCCCTGGTCCCTAGACCCCGCTGTTGGGCCCCTTTCCATTGCCTTCCCTGTCCTTCCATCAGTGGATCCCTCTATTCGTTCTCTAACTGATGCCAATAACCGTTCCAGAATCGTCGGGGCAGTGATTCTGAAAAGCGGAGTTTGGACAGTCGGGGAGAGACAACAGGGAGTGGGCGAGCCATCCCCATCAAACAGGTGAGTGGTCCAGGGACTGGGGGCAGGCTGGGGGTAGCTAGTCTTGACTGGCTCTTCTCCCACATGTCTCTTTCCATCCTCCAGAGCTTCTTACTGAAGCGAAGTGGCAACTCCTTGAACAAAGAATGGAAGAAGAAATATGTGACCCTGTCCAGTAATGGCTTCCTACTCTACCACCCCAGCATTAATGTGAGTGGCAGAGCTTGGCTGGGCCACCCTGGCTGGCTTTGAACACCCTTCTGCCTCTATCAGTCTGAGCCTCCGACAAACATCAACATCGTTTCCGGGAAGCCCTAGTCCCGTTCTCTTAGGTTCAGCAAACACGTGTTAGGCACCCGCCACGTACCCATGCTGGAGAGCGGAAAGTAAAGACATCCCCCCAGGGAACTTGCAGTCTAGTGGGAGAGGATGGAGGAAGGACCTCCACCTGGTCTGCCATTCGGGGAATGCTTTCTGGAGGAGATAGTACTGGGCCACATCTGGGGAGCCCACCCCCAGAAGCGCATCCCCACGCAGTCAGCCCCCAGGTTCCCTCTCCAGATCCTCTCTAGCCCATACGCTGTTGGCCGTTTCTCAGCACCACCAAGGACCTCGGGCTTCCCACACTCGCAACCCCTGTGCTCCTCCAGGATTACATCCACAGTACCCACGGCAAGGAGATGGACTTGCTACGAACAACAGTCAAAGTCCCTGGCAAGAGGCCCCCGAGAGCCATCTCTGCTTTTGGCCCCTCAGCCAGTATCAATGGGTTGGTCAAGGACATGAGCACTGTGCAGATGGGTGAAGGTCCCGGTGAGTGGAGCTCTTGACAGAGAGGCAGAAAAGGGACCAGAGCTGGGGGATGGGGAGGAATAGTAGGGAAGTGGAGGCTGGGACTGGATAAGTGGGAAGGTGGGTGATAACGAGGGACTACACCAGGAGTGGGTCCCAAAGACCAAGGGGCTCACTGAAGCTTTATCTTCTTCCCCTTCCAACAGAGGCCACCACCCCCACCCCCAGCCCCAGCCCCAGCCCCAGTTCCCTGCAGCCACCACCAGACCAGACATCCAAGCACCTGCTGAAGCCAGACCGGAATCTGGCCCGAGCCCTCAGCACCGGTCAGTGAGGACCCACCCTCCATCGACTCTCTTCCAGTTGTGAATGGGATGTGGGTGGGAAAGGAACTTGGGGTAGAAGCTTGGAGGCTGGAATTGGTGTGTGAGTGGACAAACTGAGCATCTGCTGGGTGCCAGGCACCGAGCTCAGTCATACTGTGATTATCATAATGGTTAACACGAGTGGGTTCTAGAGCTAAATCACCTGAACTTAAACCCTGGCTTGCCACTGGGCAAGTCACTTGACCTGTCTGTGCCTCAGTTGCCTCATCTGCAAAGTGGAGATAATAGATTCTACCTCAGAGGTTGCTTTGAGGCTTAAACAAACTGAGAACACTGTCTAGCACAGAGTCAGCCATCAGTATTTGGAGTGTTTGAGTATATATATATATATGTACACACAATCTATATATATACAATTACAATTTATAACTTACTGTGTGTATATACAATATATACACAAACATAATGTACAATATACTTACTGTACACACACACACACACACAAGTAAATTGTGGTTTTTGTTGTTGTTGTTTTAAGATTTTATTTATTTATTTGACAGAGAGAGAGATAGCAAGAGCAGGAACACAAGCAGGGGGAGTGGGAGAGGGAGAAGCAGTCTTCCCGCCGAGCAGGGAGCCCGATGTGGGGCTCGATCCCACAACCCTGGGATCATGACCTGAGCCGAAGGCAGATGCTTAACGACTGAGCCACCCAGGCGCCCACACACAAATAAATTGGTAATGGCAATCTTCACAGCAAACTTGTCAGGTCGAGAGTATTATCCCCATTCTAGGGATGAAGAAACTGAGGCTCAGAAGATTAAGTGACTTGCTCAAGGTCTCAAGGCCAGTAAGTGGCAGAGCCAGGATCTGAGTGCAGGTCTGACTCTAAACCACTCATCTGCCCACCTTCCCAGGCATGATCAAGGGGGACCTCCTGGAGAGAAGGGGGACAAAAGCTAGTTCAGGGGAGGAGACAGGCTATGGAGAAATCAGGAAATCTGTGGAGGGGGCAACTGAGGCCGCTGTGTCCCCCTCCCTAAGACTGTACCCCATCTGGAGACCTGAGCCCCCTGAGTCGGGAACCCCCTCCTTCTCCCATGGTGAAGAAGCAGAGGAGGAAAAAATTGACAACACCATCCAAGACTGAAGGCTCGGCTGGGCAGGCTGAAGGTGAGGCCCTGGTGGGCAGTTCCATCCCACCCTGGACCCTCACCCCCAACTCCAGATCCCTGGCCTAGCTCCTGCAGGAGGAGGAAAAGTGCCTGAGCTGAGTGCTTGACTATCATTATCACTGTGCACATGACCTAGTGAAAAATGGACGAAGACCCCTCAGCCCCGTCCTTCCTCCCATTCCCCAGACAATGCCTTGTACCCAGTAGTTCCCAGTCCTGCCACTCCCTTACCCAATGACTCCATTGGTCTGTAGCTCCTGCTTCCTCTCTTAATGACCCTCTAGTTTCTGTTCCTGCCCTCAACCCCATTTATCATCCCAGACCCTGCACCCAGAACCCCCTGTGGCCCCCAGTGACTCAGTACCTGACTTCAGTGTCACCCATTGAGTTCTCAGCTCCCGGAGTCTGTGACCACCCAACCCCTGTTCTCTTGATCACCAAGCTCCCCCAACAGCCCTTGACCACAGTGGTCCCCATTCCTGCCCTCAGGGACCTCCCCAAGCCCCTGAAGCTTCTCTGGAACCCCACAACCCCCTTGTCCCAGGCCCGTGACTCAGTTTCTGTCCCCTTTCCCTGTGTTCACTCGGATCCTGACCATCCCTTCCCTTCCCAGAGACCTCGCTCCTCATTGGTCATGATAACTGGTCCCCACGCCCTGCTCTCTGCTGGGTGCTCAGACCCAGGTTCCAGATCTGCCTACTCTCATGGCTCTTGGCTTCCGCTCTACTCTGCTCCGGGGCCACTGACTTTAGTTCTGCTTTCTCTCCCCATCTGTCTGTCCTGCTTTGTCTCTGGCACTCTGTCACTATTTCTCTTCATCTCTCCATCTGCCTCTCTCTTTCTCCTTTCTTGGTCTCTTTCTCTGTTCTGCTCTCCATTCTATCTCTATCTCCTTCGCTTCGGGAAACCAGCCAAGCGCAAAATGTGGAAACTAAAATCCTTTGGTAGTTTAAGAAATATTTATAAAGCAGGTAACAAGCGGGGAGCTGGGAGGGGCGCTCAGCTGGGGTGCAGAGGGGTGGGGGTGCCCCTGCCTTCCCCTGCATGTGCTCGGGCTTCCTGCTCTCCCCCACCTTTCGCTTCCCCAACCCTTCTGCCCCACTCCCAGGGGCTTGGGATGGACATGGAGGGGGGGAAGGGTTTGGGCAAGGTGGCCCCTATTTGAACTCCATCCCTCATGACCCCATCCCATCCCCCCACTCAGAGGAAAACTTCGAATTCCTGATCGTGTCCAGCACTGGTCAGACGTGGCACTTTGAGGCAGCCAGTTTTGAGGAGCGGGATGCCTGGGTCCAGGCCATCGAAAGTCAGATCCTAGCCAGTCTGCAATGCTGTGAGAGCAGCAAGGTCAAGGTAATGGGTCGGCGGGGTGAGGGTTGGGGGTGAGCAGAGGTGAGTGTCTTAAGAGTCTGGAGAAGGGAGTCAATACAAGGGAGAGTCAATACAAACCCCAACCCTTTCTGCAGCTGCGCACAGACAGCCAAAGTGAAGCGGTAGCCATCCAGGCGATCCGGAACGCCAAGGGGAACTCTACCTGCGTGGACTGCGGGGCCCCCAGTGAGCGCAAGGGTGCAGCGGAGGGGTCTGGGAGGGAGTGTGGTTCGCTGGGGTTGGGCGAACGCTGGGGTGCCCATGCTGCCTGCCCGCCGGGCGCCGACCTCTGCACTCCCTCCCCAGACCCCACGTGGGCCAGTTTGAACCTGGGCGCACTCATCTGCATCGAGTGTTCTGGCATTCACCGGAACCTGGGCACACACCTGTCCCGCGTTCGCTCGCTGGACTTGGACGACTGGCCTCGGGAGCTGACCCTGGTGCTGACGGCCATTGGCAACGACATGGCCAACCGCGTGTGGGAGAGCGACACGCGGGGCCGCACCAAACCCACGCGGGACTCTTCGCGGTACGTGTGAGGGAAGGGGGGCGCTTAGGACGTGCGGCTCCCGAGAGGTTTTCCTGAGTAAGGGGCAGAGGTCCTGGGTGAGGGTCCCTAGAGCCCTTCCTGTTCATCCCTGGTCTTGTAGGGAGGAGCGTGAATCATGGATTCGCGCCAAGTACGAGCAGCTGCTGTTCCTGGCGCCGCTGGGCACTCCCGAGGAACCGCTGGGCCGCCAGCTGTGGGCCGCGGTGCAGGCCCAGGACGTGGCCGCCGTTCTCCTGCTTCTGGCCCATGCGCGACACGGGCCGCTCGACACCAGCGTAGAGGACCCGCAGCTTCGCTCCCCCCTTCACCTGGCAGCCGAGCTCGCCCACGTTGTCATCACGCAGCTGCTGTTGTGGGTACGTGCGTGGGGCAGGAGGAAAGGGGCCTTGGACGGCTCCAGCCAGGTGCGGGGGAGCCTGCTATCCCCAAAAGGACCCTGGCAGCGGGCCTGGAAATTCTGGAGAGACGGCGTGCGGGTGTCGGCCCTACGGGGTCGCTTGGTGACGCGGGCCGTCTCTGTCTTTCTAGTACGGCGCCGACGTGGCCGCCCGCGACGCACAGGGCCACACGGCGCTGTTCTACGCCCGCCAGGCTGGAAGCCAGCTGTGCGCCGACATCCTTCTCCAGCACGGCTGCCCGGGTGAGGGCGGCAGCACCGCCACCACCCCTAGCGCAGCCACCACCCCCAGCATCACCGCCACGCCCAGCCCCCGCCGCCGGAGCAGCGCCGCCAGCATGGGCCGCGCCGACGCCCCCGTCGCGCTGGTATAGTTGCCCAGCGGGAGAGACACCCCCACTCCCACACGGGCCGGGCACGACCACATCGGGTGGACCGCTGGACAGATGCACCCACTCACCTCTCCAATCCGCACCCCGCCCCACGGGAGCACTTCTTCCCCCACGAGGGCACCGCCCCCACGCCTCCCAGAAGACACAAACTCATCTCCCTCTCCCCAACGAGGCATGGAGACCCCAGTTCAACACGCCCCCTCTCCACCGTTTCCACGCTCGAATTGCTCTGGGTCTACCAGATGGGTGTCTGCGGAAGCGGACCCCCTGTCGCGGTACTGGCTCCTGGGAGCTTGGATTTGCCCGCTCGCGCCCCCTAGGGGTGGAGGAGGCGGAGACCCAGTCCTGCTTGTGCTCGACAATCCCCAGGCGGGAGCACATACCCAGGCTGGCTCCTGGGGCGACGCCACGCCAGAGGGAGGGGTTAGTACGTGGGAGAGCTAGCCCTGGGACTTGGGGCCAATACCGGGACCCCCACCCCTTCCATGCTAATCTCACTGCCCAGTGAAGGGGGAAGGGCAGCGAGGGGCAGGACCCCTGCTGCCCAAGGGGGTAGGGGGGTCCCCAACCCTTTCCGTGAAAGGGACCATGAGGAGTGGAAATCAGGACGTCCCCCCACACCCACCCATGGTTGGAAGCTAAAGGGCCGGGGGAGCCAAGAGCCTGGGTCCCTCCTCACTACTATCTTGGGAGGGAGAAGAGATGGAGCAGAGCGGGCTAAGGGGATTGGGGAGGGACCTTGTAATTTATTGCTTTGTTCCCCAACAAGGGGGCGGGGGCGGGCAGGGACTTGGGGAGGGCGTTTCATGGTAGGGGAAGCCAGGGGTGGGCAGAGGGTGGGGTGGGGTGGGGGTGCTCTCGGGTTGTGAGTGTCTGTGACCGTGACTGCGTACCTGTGACTGTGCAGCGCCCGTGGTGATCTGGGGTAGGGGGCACCCCTGCAATGGGACCCCTCCCCCACTATTCTTCCTGTCAAGCCCCTCCCTCCCACTGGAGCAGCTCCAGACCCGTCCTTCAACCCCACGATCCCTCCCAGCCAGGGCTAAAAGGATGAGAGGTGGCTGGGAGGGTTTCCAGGCCTCCTTCCCCATCCCCAGGAAGGGGGCGGTGGGGTGGATTTACCTGGCCCAGCCCTGCCTCCTTTAATCAATCCAGCCCTTGGACCGTCTGTGTCAGTGGTTTCCGGTCTTTTTTTTTTTTTTTTCCTCAGCTAAAATATTTTGCAAAGGACCAGGTAATTGGGGAGGGGAGAGGGACTGGGGCAGAGGGAAATGCCCCCATCTCCTCTGAGGCAGATGGTGTGAGTCTTCTTCAACAGCAATTAAAGAGGAAGTGATTTTGTCTAGGGGGTGAGCTGCTGGTTTGTTCTTGAAGAGGTGGGTCAGGGAATGGACTTGGTCAAGGTGGGGAACTGGAGGTGGGAGAGGGCCAGCAGAGGGTGCCCCTGCTGGGGCTGGTGGCAGGGCAACCCGGTAGCAGGCCAGATACTTCACCCTGTAGTGAAAGGAACCAGGCAGGTCAGAGCAACAGTGGGGATCCAGGGAGCTGAAAAGTCAATGACTCCCAACATGACCCCTTTTCTGGGAAGGAGCTGGGGCATGGAACTTAGAGGAGAGGACAGGGGAGGGGGCTGCCTGAGAGGTGGGAAGCTGGGGTAGCTTTGGTTGAGAGCAGGAACTTTGGAGTCAGATCTGATTTTGTAACCGGGCCCTCCACTTCGTGGCTAGGTGGCCTTGGGTAGGTTACCTTGGTGGCATCTGTTCATTGGTAATCTGAACAATATCTGTTCCAAGGGACCTAGTGAGGACTCCAGCACTGGCCATGGAGGACTGCCCTAGGGACCTGGTACCAGAAGTAGAGCTCATTATTGTAGGGACCTGGAGACAAGAGGTGGGAAATCTCGCAGCCACAAAGGCCCCTGGTGTCCGCACACTCCACGCCCAGCTGCTGTAGCAGACATCTGCCCACCTCCATGTCACTAGGCCACTGAGGCCAGCGCTGCCCTCAAGAGCTGCAGTGCTTCCTCGTTCAGCATGAAGCCCATCCTGCTGTTTCTCACGGGCAGCAGAAAGCATTTGCCCTGATAGAGGGGCTGGGTGGAGTGGCATTGGCCAGCAGCCAAGGCGGGCTGGGCACAGCCACCACATGTCATTCAGTCAATGGCCCTCAGTCTTCTGATGGAGTCTCTGGTAGAGGCTCAGAACCTCTCAGCCCCACAACGACAGACAGCTGCAGGTGTGCCATCAAGCTAACAAGGTGTGGTTGCCGCAGTTGGGGCCAGGTTCTGATCACACGGAGGCCCTCACTCTCTAGGATTCTAGCCTAGCCTGGGGACCACCCAGCACAGCAGCCCGACACAGGATGCAGGTGCAGTGACAGGTACAGATGCAGGTGTGCCGCCTGGGAAGGCAAATCAAAAGGAAGGGGGGAGGTGCCTGGGGGGCTCAGTCGGTTGAGCGTCCAACTCTTGATTTCGGCTCAGGTCAGGATCTCAGGGTGGTGGGATCAAGGCCTGCTTTGACCTCCTCGGTTGGCGTGGAGCCTGCTTAAGATTCTCTCTCCTCTCTCCCTCTCCTGCTGCCCCTCCACCCCCCTCCCTCTCTTAAAAGGAAAAAAAAAAGGAAGAGAGGGAATTAGCAAAAAAGACTCAACTGGACCACCTGGCCATTCCCTCCTTCAGCTCAGAGACCCTGGACTCCCACAGTCCATCTCCACTTGACTTTTTGGTGGCAAAAGTTCACTCCCTTCCTCAGAAGCTTGAGTGTGAGAGAGTTTGTGGAGGAAGCAAGGGCCCCGGAGAGCATGAAATTACCACAGGGAACTGCAGGCCATGGGGAGTTCCTTTCATTTCCAGCCAGTGAAAAGTGGTCGGGGTGTCAGCAACCCCCACTGAAAATCCCAACACTAAGTAATCCACTGGCTTTTTGTCATTGGCTGCATCTTTGGCCTGGTGAGAAATGTGAAGGGTGTAGTGGATGGGATGACAAAATGCCAAGCCCTCCAAGTCGTGCACAATAGGAGTCTAGAAGGAAACTCCCTGGGGGGCTGAGGGGAGAAGTTGCCCTTTTACATCCATGCCACCTTCCCAGCTCACCTCGGGTGTCCTCACCTGGATTCCTGCCCGCCCCTCCTCACCGCCCCACCCCTGTTGCCACACACCCTGCTTCCCTCCTTCTGTTTGCCTTAGCACAGCTGGGGCAGACCAACTTTCTCCACGGGAGTTTCACCAAAAGCCAAAGGAAAGCAAAAAGGAATTTTCTATTGAAAGTACAAGATGATTAAATCTAGTGAGGTTTCCAGAACTCCGTTTTCTGATGATCTTGAGTCCATCCTCATCAAATCAAAGATAATCCTGCCCCAGCCTCTCTTGCTCTCCCATTCTAAAAGATTCCACTGTAGCTTCCGATCAGCGTTTGAGATTCCTTCTAAGACTCTTGCCTCCAAGTACCATCTAGTCTCCTCAGAACTCAGGAGCTGGTTCGTGAGAACTTATTGAGCACTTCCTGTGGGCCAGGTGCTGTGCTAAGAGTATGACACGCAGTAGATTTCCTTCCATACTCCCAACCACCATCGGAGGCCAGTGTGATTATCCACAACTTACCCGTGAGGAAACAGCTTGAAAAGTTAAATAACTCATTCAGGGCCCTGCTGAGTAAAGAGAGGAGTGGGGATCTGAACCCGGCATTTCGACTGCAGCTGCCCTTGGGAAGCATTCCTCCCCGCAAGATAACCCAGATGGATCTGGGGAAGCAGGATTTCGCAAGTCTACCCATTTACATTTCTCCGTAAAACAACGTAAGCATGACATGCAAAATGAGCACCCGGCTACATCCAGAAAGGTCGGTCTCAGACAACTTCCTTCAACAACGATAGAATCTCACTTTGACTTCTGGAGACCCAGGAGTTCAATGGCCTCTGGCTTACCTGTGAGTCGGTGCCATCTTCAGCAGAAAGATTGTACATCTCAGAGATGGAGAGCAAGAGGAGAAAGGGGGAGGTGAGGGGCCGTGTGTGTGCACTTGGCGACAGGGAGGAGGAGAGCCCTACGCAGACCCTCCCGCCCTCGGCATGGTAGGAAGCTGGCATAGGTGGGCAGCAGTGCCCTCTCTGGGCCTGGCAGAAATGACGTGGTATGGCAGGTGGGCACGGGGTGCGGGTGTCCAACAGAAGCTGCAGCACGCTGCAGGGGGCGTTCAGCAGGAGGGTCCCCGTGGTGGGGTAACTCCGGGCTGTGCACAACGCTTTCCGGATGTGAAGGAGGAGAGAAGGAATAGAAACAGAGGAGGGAGAGGAGGGACAACAGAACTACAGGGTGTCCGGTCGGGGGGGCTTTGTCCCTCTGTCCTGGTCTCTTCTGGTGCATCCCAGTCCCCACCGGTGCCACTTCGGGGGGGGGCGGGGTGCAGAGCACAGAATGCGATGGGAGAGCGTGCACTCCACCCTGAGGAGAACCCTCACGCCTGCTCGAGCCCCCACCCCACCTGCCCCCTGAGAAGAAGACACAGACTGATGGATTGATGGTCCAGTTATTTATTGAGAAACCTGATTGTTCAAGAACATGGTGGGTGGTTCTGTACCCCACCCTTTTCAGTGGCATCGTGTCAGGGGTGGTGGGCAACTCTGTCCCGTTTCCTCAGAAACGGAGGCGAAGGCACCTCAACTCGGAAGCCCGGATTGTAGGGAACAGTGTGGGCAGGGAAAGGAGCAGGGAATCCCAAGCCGATCGGAGGGAAGGGGGTGGCCCAGAAGAGCAGCTCAGGCAGGGTGTGGGGGGCCTGCTGAACTGCCCCCCTCTTCTTGCTCTCCCTGCCCTCCTTCAAAAGATCTCATCAACTCTCTAGGGAGGGAGGAGAAAGGAACCGACAAGTTAGGGGACCTGTACCGAGCAGCCAGGGAGAAAGGAAAGGGGCTGTGGAGAAGCCTGGGAGAGCAAACCCCACAGGCCCGCCAGGTCTTGCGTGGCTCTCAGCAGCAGCGGCGGAGGCGGAGGCGGAGGCGGCGCGCTCCCCCCGCCGCCCCTCTACACCCCCCAGGCAGGAGGCGGCAGGAGGCGGCAGGAGGACAGGTCCACAGCTCAGCGTGCCTCTGCTGTTTCGCCTTCAGGGCCCCGGGCGCGGGTTTGGGGAGGAGGCAGGGCCAGTCTGGGCAGGCTCTGCACTCCTTGGCCAGCCGACTGCACTGGTGGTCTCAGAAGTCAAACTCCTCCAGGTCC